TCCCATTCTCTTGTCCCTGAAATGGTTAGTGTGTCTAGTTTCCACACATAGCTAACCCCGCCCGGGAGCACCTAACAGTTTCAGTCAGATATCTGTTCCTATCCATCCTTCCCTAAAGGCTGGAGGACAAGGACAGACATGCAGACGCCTCCTTACAAGACTAGAGTGAACAGCTCACTTTTATTTGGCAAGTATGCATTCACCCGAGGTGAGCTGGTTCCCATGCACTGCCGGTGGCTGTAGCTGTAGAGGTCCAATGGGATCGTGACTTGCTAGTGAGTGTGGCAGGTGCCCACCCAGGGCCCCACCTGCTCGTAGATGGTTACAGTTTCCGCCAGGATCTCTACCGACACAGCTGAGTCTGGAGTCCACACTTAACTCCTCTCTGGGGGTTCCTTAGAATTGACACAGCAATCGTACAGGGGAAGGAACACGCAGTGTGTGTTCAAATCCCACCTCAGCCCCTTTGTATGGCTTTAGGCAAGTCGCTTTGCCTCCTCTGCGCCTTGGTTTCCCCATAAGTAAAGTGGAATAACAGCCATTGCCACCACAGGTTGCAGATGTGAGGATGACCTCAGATACCTATCTCACGCTCACACTAGGTCCCCAGGTCACCTGTCTGTCTGCAACCTCCTACCATGTCCTCTCCTCCCGCCTTGGGCCATCACCAGGGGTCTGCCCAGCAAACACTGCCTTGCTCACATCGTCCAGGTACCCTGAGGCATTTCCAGCCTCATCAGGCTGTCGCCTCCACCCGATTACAAGGCAGTGTCACCGATTACAAGGCAGTGTCACCGCCTTCCTGAGACATGGTTGGTAAGAAACTGTTACGTCGCCACACACTGTTGTTTTCAGTCCAACCATTATACAAAGAGGGATTAGGTGTTTCAGGGCGGTATTTATTTAGCTAACATATCTTTTGTGATATCTTTTGTAGCCGTTGACAGGAGAAAGAAAATTAAATGCCACTTAGAAGCTCAGAAATTCCCAGCCCGGCCAAGAGTGGGTATAGTGTGAAATGCCTTGATTAGTGACTTGCAAAAGCATCTTTTCTTTCTGAGCAGGCAGCTTTGGACTTGGGGTGTGCATGTGTGTGTGTGTGTGTGTGTGTGCACATGTTTCAGTCGGGGTGACGGCAAGACTGAAAGAGGGCTGGACCCCAGAAAGGACACCTCTCTTCCTGCCCAGAAGGCAGTGGGACTGCATTCTACCCTGTTCAAGGATGGAGGGTGTAAACATGGTGCATTGTGTCCTCACCCCCAGTCCCCCAAAAAGGTTACAACAGGTGGGTGGAGCCTCCCAGAAGGGGGCTACATTGGCCCCATCCTCCCACAGCTGGGACTCCTGAAGTTTCCCATGGCACAAGTGCAAGGAAGTCCCCCTCCCTGCATTTTCATGGATGCACAGCTTCACACGTCTGTTTGTTCATCTGCTCATCTATCCTTATCAGTGTGTACAAAGTATCTGCCAGGCCCAGTCCCGCACTTCATAGACAACAAAATCACCAGCCAGAGGCAGGAAGGGTTTCCCCAGGTCGCCTCATTTTTAGGACAGAGACTGACATGTGGGGAAGAAACCATCCAGGGTGAGACTCTGCATGAAGACCCCTGAGCCTCCTGGTCCTGAGAGGATCCAACAGCCACCTCCGCTGGCTTCCAGGCCCCCATTTCCCAGTCCCTGGAAGAACTTGTTGGACCTGACCTCTTGAGTAAGTTCTAAAAGTTGAGGCAGGCTGGTGGAGTGGCTCAGTGATAGAACACCTGCCTAAGCAAGTGTGAAGCCCTGAGTTCAAATCCCAGTACCAGAGGTTTTCAAAATAAAAGTTGGGGCAAGGCATTAATTATGCAATGTTCCCCAAATGAGCAAGTCCTGGGGCCTCAGCACCCTTGTCTGTGGATTGGGGCAGCAGCAGCAATGTCTGGCTTACAGTTACCACAGAGATGAATTGGGAGGGTGCACCTGCTTGGGGGGGCAGAGCAGGCACTGGGCACAGGGTAGCTGCTTATAACTGTCTTCAGCCCCTCCCACCCCTTGAGCTAAGAAGAAACCCCACTAGCTTACAGGAAGTATGGGCATTTGCCACACCATTGCTCCTGAGGTTGGAACCGCCCCTGGTCCCCAGATCCCTGTCCTCTGTCCTGGCATCAGCAATGGGGCGGAGAGGCTGCTGCCAATTTGCTGTCTCAGCTCCCCAGGGACAGGGCTGCAGCCTCCAGCTGCGGTCCCCGCCCTCCCCACACACAGGCATTGAAAGATAACGGCCAAAGTCGGCCCCTGGGGATGGAGGACCAGGGGCAGCTGCAGGATGGGCTGCAGGGGGGCTGGACCTCTGCTGGGTCAGCAGCCTGAGTGGTCCTTCGAGATGTAGGAAGACAAATGTGAAGCCCATAAACTTCTACTGGGCTATTATTTAGGGAGGAAAATGGGAGCGCTTGGAAGCCAGGCCTCCTGCATGATAAAACTCCTCTGTCCCAAGCCTGGCGAATACCTTGCCCCAGTGCAGGCACAAAAGCCACCCAAGAATGGCTTCATTGCATAGCCAGTGAAACTGAGGATCAGAGAGAGGCAGTGACTTGTCCAGGGTCACACAGCAGTGTGTGTTCTTCACTAGTAGATGCGGGACTGGAGGCACACAGCTCTCAGAGTGTGGTGGCTTCATGTTTGAGTCCTTGACCTGTCACTACTCTTCATCTTGTTAAGGCCTTAAACTGCCGAGCCTTGGTTTCCCTATCCACCAGATAGGTACAAGAGTGCTATGCTCGTGGGACGGTTTGGGGATTTGGTTGGGATTTAGTATGAGAGCCTGGTATGGTAAAGGCAAGCAGTAAAGGTTAAGGGACCGTCACCATGGTTGTCGTGGTCTTCTCTATTCTCTGCCTTTTGGAAACCCTGGTCAATTGGTGCAGGAAAACAGCCCAGATCAATACAAATAGGAGAGGTGTGTGCCAGGCAGGGGACGGGCACCTCTGCATCGCGGGCTGACAGAGGTAGGCCTGCTTCTCCTCCCTCTGCCCCCAGCACCCCCCAATCCCACCCCAGTAAGCTGGGCATGACTGCCAGGCCTGAGAGGCAGAGCTCTGCCTGCCCTGCCCTGAGTTTGTGGGCTGGGCTGCCTGGACATGCAGGGCCCAGTGTGGTGGGAGCCCCTGTTGGGCAACACCTGGGTACCTGGATGCAGAGATTCCACCCTTCCCCCTGTCCCCCAACAGTTCCTCCGCACTCCTACTCCTCAGATCTCATGGCCCAGCTGTCACAGAAAGCCGCACTCTGATATGACTAAGCAGTCACAGAAATAGTTAAGTGACTTTCCAAGCTCTATTCATGTGATCCTCCCAGCACCTGTGAGAGCCCTAATTGTACCCATTTTAAAGATAAGGAATCCCAAGCCAGTCATGGGGCCTGTCCAAAGCCAGACTTGGAGCCTCCACCCAGTCTTTTATGCAGCTCTTTCAGGTGTGAATACAAATCCACAGGTACAGCTCCTCCAGCCAGCCCTGGGAGGACCGGGCTCTCATAAGCTCCCAGCTAGGCTGGTGCTGCTGGATGCCAGGCACCCAGCCAGGTTCATGGTGGCTAATGTCTCCTTTAACCATGAACTCACTAGACTTCTAGGTGAAATTGCCCAGGATCATACAACTGGCAAGTGGCAGAGTCAAAAGTAGTCATTCAGTTGCCATAATGTCACCATGTAGTCAGTGGGTACTAATTTATTCCCATTTTACAGGTGGAGAAACTGAGGCTCAGAGAGTTTCACACAGCCAGAGAAGCTGGGTATCAGCCAAACTGATAACACTTCCATAGACCTCTCATTTTGTTACTTAAACCCTATTAGTACTGGGAGGAAGCCAGAGGTTCTTGGCTGTGTGGCCTGAGAAAAAGCCCTTTCATTTCTGGGGGCTGCAGTTTCCTCACCTGTGTAATGGGGTTCATCAGAGCAGCACCCCCCTAAGGTGAATGATGGGGGCATAAACCACCACACACCTGCTGCAGCTCTGTACTCAGAAGGCTCTCTGAACAGTGATTTGAATTTGTGGCCTCATTTGGCTCTCAGAGGGCAGCCTCCCTTTAATTGGGGGACTTCTGACTGCCCTAGCAGGCTCAGCTCGTGAGCTGCAGTGGCCCAGGGTGAGGTAGTGAGGATCAGACGACCCTAGGATAAACAGGGCTGATCCAAGGTGACAGCCTGCTCTTCCCAGGCCAGCCCTTGTCCCGTCCCCATTCCTAACACGGGCTGTGACTCCTCAACCCAGACATGGTGCTTGTTTTGGCTGGGGGGGTCCTGGGAACCAAGCCAGGCCTCCTTGGGCTCAAAGAAGAGAGACAGGGGAGGGGGGACTCCAGGCCCTTTCTATTCCTCTTTCTCCCTTTGGCAGCTGTGTGAACTTGGACAAGCCCCTTTCCCTCCCTTGGCCTCAGTTCTCCCAAGAAGAGGTTGGATTGGTTGAATCCTTAAGGGCCTTTCCTTTTCTGAGGTTTGAAGGCAAAAAGAAGGGCTCTGAGGACACCCCCTACCCCCTCACCTGAATTTCCTTCTTCCTGCTTAAGTTTCAATTAATTCTGTCCCCACATTCCATCTAATTCAACAGCATCAATTACACGATGAGGAAACAAGGCCCAGAGAGGGCAAAGGACTTGCCGAAAGTCTCACAGCCAGGCTGAGAACCCAGGAATGACTCACAACTTTCCAGCCTCCAGGGAGGATAGAACCCAATCCCCCCCAGAAAGCTTTTGGAGAGGGGAAGCAATAGTTGCTGCTGTGACCAAGACATCCAGTCTTTAACCAGAAGGGGACCTCTTTTGGCGGGAATGAACACCTGCAGGCATCTGATGGCCCCACTGTGCCAGACCACAACCCACACCAGCAAAGACCCACTCTGAGATCAAGTCCTTCTAGCTCTGGGGAAAGTCACAATACTGCAGAAACAGTCTCAGAAACCACAAAGCACGTAAGGACTTCAAGCAATTAAAAATGTACAGTTTGTTACTGTCAAAAGCCTCACCTGTGATCCTGTGGGGACCGGTGGTGATTTTGCCCTGCGTTTTGAATAATTCCTGACATTGTGGATGAGATGTCACTTTCTATCATGTCCTAAGGAAAAGACAGCAGAAAACAAAGTTCCCATCAGCAATGACTGCAACACAGCAGAAACCCACCTGCTTTCAGAAAGCTGGAGCTCAGACAACTAGCAGAACGGAGGATTCCTGGCATCCCAAGTCACAAACCCAGGACAATTCTGCAGGGTTTTAGAAGCAAGTGAAGAGAACAGAACACAATTCCGATTTATTTCAAAAAACAGGGGAAGCTGCAGAGGGAAGTATCTAGAAAGCAAGCATCAAGCTTTGGAAAACGTGCACTTGCAAAGTGGGAATCAGAAGTTTATTTCTTCCCAAATTTTCAACCTCAATGCATTATGCTCACTTTGAAAATAAAAAAATAAATAGAAAGGGAAGCCTGATGTTCTGTGTATGTTTCTCTGGGGGAGCCAAATTCCCACTTGCAAAGAGAATAATCCCCTAGGGCTCCCGCCCTGGAAATGCCTTCAGAGATGCCACAGAGTCTGGCTGGAAAACCAGTCCGCCCACCCCCCCCCACCCGCCTCCCCCCCAACGCACCCTTAAAAAAAATAATAATCAAGCCTCCAAGCCTCCTAAATTTCTCAAACGCCAAGCCTGAGACGGATAGAAACCCAGCAAAGGCTCCGATCAGTTCCGCCCCTTAAAGTCATCGAGGATTCCCGGGAAGAAGAGGGGTCCCTGCCCGGGAGGAGGGCGCAGGGCCGGCCTGCACGGCGGTACCTGGAGCGGATCCCGGCGGGGCGGCCGCTGCCGGCGCTCGGGGGGCGCGCGGGGTCCGGGGGGGGGGCGGCTCCCTCGCGCTCGCCCCTCGCGCTCCGCAATTTGGCCACCGTCGCAGCTCGAACCGTTTTTAAATTTCCCTCTCTGGAGCTGTCCAGCTCGGAGCATGCGCAGTCGCCGTGCGGGGGGCTTTTTCCCCAAGGGTCAGTTACAGGGCAGGGTCAAGGGGATTGCAGCAGGCGTGTCCCGGGGTGGGGGGAGGCGGTGTCGGGGGAGGCGGGTGCGGGGGTGGGGACGCCCCTCTGCAAACTTTGCCAACAGTGGCAGCCACTGCGCGCCCGCGACCTTGCGTTCGGGAGCAGTGGTGGCCCGGGCCAGAATGAAGTTGCAAGAAGGTGGTGGGGGCAAAGTCGCCAAGCGGCCCTGGCCCGGGGGTAAAGGCGGCGGCGGGGGGAGTGATCTGTCGCGCCTCCGTTTCTCCCCCTTTGGGGGACGCGCCTGGAGGCACAGTCCAGGCCCCAGGTAGCCATGCAATCCGGCCACCTGTCCCTTTAAGAAAGTTGTGCCCGGCGGGCGGGTGGGCGGGCGGGGGGCGCTCGCGCCGGGCGCCTCCACCTGCCTGGCCGCGGGGGGCGCCCGGGTCTGCGCGCCGGGCCCCCCTGCCCGCGCCGAGGGTGAGCCCGCCCGGGGCGAGCGCCGCGGGACCTGGCTGGCGCGGGGGCCGGGGACGCGGCGGCACTGGGTCCCGCGGAGCCGTTGGCGCGGTGGCCCGCCGCTGTGCCCGCGCTCCCGCCCGCCCCGCCCCGCCGCGGGAAAGGTGGCGCCGATCGCGGGCCGCGGCGGGACCCGGCGCGGTCACAGCTCGCCGGGCAGGAGTTTGATCCCCTGCGAAAGTCTGCATTTCGGGCACCCCAACTCTTGCGCCTCGGGTGGAGGCATTGCCATGTTCTCAATCACAACAGCCCCCCTCGTTTATTTAAGCCTGCACCACCTTTCTTCCTCCCACCGTGTCTTATGGGTTAGGGTGACCCCCTTTTTGCATATGGGGGACACGAAGCCTTGGAGTCCGTCAGGGGCAGAGGCCACGGCCGCGCACCTGCACTGGACAGTGGACCAGACCACTCAAGTCCGCCGGCCCTGCCCAGCCAGGCTCAGGGTCCAGCGCTGCTTCCCGAGGCGACTTCCGTGTCACCACACCTGTGATCAGAGAGCTCAGGAAGAACCCAGGACTCTGAGCTGGGTGTGCCTGGATTTCATTTTTCATTCAGGTGGGCTGTGACCTTGGCACTGGGCCATGGCCTCCTGAATGGTTTTTCTGTGGCACCTGGGCTCCCTTCCTCCTTTCTTTTAAGAGCAAGAAGTAAATAGATCAATTTGCCGGGTAGTTAAGACCATGGTCAGGAACCCTCGGGTTTCATCTTTCTCTGGCCTGCATGTATTTAAAATCTGGGGTTTGACCCGTTCAAAAGGTGGCTTACATTGTTGGGGTCGCTTTGAATGGCCCCGAATGAACTGTAATTAATTTGTCAGTTACATTGTAAGCATTCAAATTTGGGTTTATTTCTGTTAATCCTTGTTGGAGTCCTAAGTAAAGAGGAGTGACCCGAGAGCTTCCTTTTGAGGTGACGCCCTTTTCATGAAGGCTTATTTTTATGTCTAGAGTGATCTGGAAAGAAGTCCTGTATTCAGTAAAGCTTTTAAATGACAGGCATCCATGGAAAAGATGACCAAGGGAGAGAGATATTGAGAGGGGAGTGGGGAAGGAGGGGGGAGGAGGGGAGAAGGGGGGGTGCAGGGATGAGGAAAGATGGTTCTGGGAAGCCCTCAAAGCTCTCCTTTTCTTTTGAGAACTTGGTTTCGCTGCATGGATTTTTCGCTGGGAATTGCAGTCATTTTACTAGAGTTGACATTGTGTGTTGTTTGCTTCAGGACTGTTGGTGAAAATATTGCCACCCACACACGTACTGCCAGGGTTATGCAGAAAGCCCAGGGTTAGACAGAACCTTTCCTTTATTTGTCAGATGAATATATTTTTCCCTTTTCTCAATTTTAAGTCACCTCTCGTGACATTAAGTCAATAAAGTGAATGGCTGGAGAATCCTCATTGTCTAACAATTGTCAGGTGGAATCTATGATCAACCATGTTGGGGTGCCTAGACTAAGAAGACCTTTACTGGCCTGAAGGTGGCTGATACCCCACTTTCCTTTTTAAGTGAAAGAATGTGAAATTTACCCATCTGCATCGCTTTATCACCCTCTGTCATTTGCTCCCGGGTAGGGAGAGCATTCTGACTTGGTTTGGCTCTGATTTTGCAAATGTGCTCAAGAGTCCCTGCTAGCAAGATTCCCAACAGAGACCTGATATACCAGACCTTTGATTACACAGGAAACCTTGCAGAAGGGAGAAAAAGTAATAGGTTTACAGCTTTTGGCCCCATCCTCCCATTCTATGTAGTAGAAAATGAAAAATGCCCGAATGTGGACCTCTGTTGCATAGGTTATGAGAGTTTAACAGCGCAGTTACCTGCCTGTCCTGTTTGGAGCTAGGGTGCCCATGGCTGGGTAAGAGATACTTGTCCGTGATATTGGACTACATGTTCAGACAGTGTTCCTACTGAAAGATTAAAAATATTAAGTCCCATGGCAAATTTAAAGCTGGTTGTCTTTGATCAAGAAGCTGTTTTCTTTTAAGTCATGACCATTTCTTCTTTTTCCTAAAATCTTGACTTTTGCTTTGCTTGTTGCTCAATTTTGCGGTGATGGGCGAGGTCAGGAACACACGATTTGTAGCAATAAACAATCAGCTGCCTTCCTTGCACCCTAATGGCTCAATGTGGTGAATTACAGGGCATGTCTTTGAGGCAGAAATACTGATGTCTTTTGCAGGGAACCAATTATACCAGAATCACCTCAGGCCACAGCACTCGGGCTGTGTGAGGCACACGGCATGTACTCTGGAGATTTTCCCCTTTGTTTCACCAGCCACTAAAAACTAATCAGGAGCTACTTTCTTATAAGAAGTCTGTCAAGGGTACCTTGAGTATCCTCTCCAAGGTTCATGCCAGTAATTTCTGGTTCTGATTTTGTAAGATGTGAGTTAACTAGCCACAGACAGCCTGTGAAAGCCTGAAAATAACCTCTGAAGATGAGAGCACAGTTTTTTTCTTTTTTTAGGAGAGCATGAATGCAGGCTGAACTCCTCAGAGCTGTTAGCATGACTGATGTGTGTACTATGGTTGTCTTTGGAGCATGACTGTGCAGGAATTGCTGGTTATAATTGCAGTCACATATCTTTTTTTTAAATAAAAGGATGCTAAACCTCTGGATGGTTCCAGGAAGGGACTACTAGAATGTCTTTGTAGCTTCATGATAGTCTATTAGACTGGATTCACCCAGTTCAATCTCGATCTTGTTCTACTTCTCAGAAAGGTGAATTGTGCCCAATAAAATTAATTCTAGTAAAGAATGTAACCCACAACTGGGCATGGTGGCTCATGCCTGTAATCCTAGTTACTCAAGAGGTAGGGATCAGAAGGATCAAGGTTTGAGGCTAGCTCTGGCAAAAAGTTCCAGAGACCCTAACTCAGCCAATAAAAGCTGCATGTGGTAGTGAGCACCTGAGCTTCCTGCATAGCTGAGTTGACAGGTGCTGGGCTTAAACAGCGAGACCTGCCACTCAGCCATCCCAGTTGACAGAAAGGGCTCTTACCCCTGAATGCTACAATTGTTTTAATCTGACTACTTGGTGTGTCTTTTTTTGGGGGACTGGGGTTTGAACTATTTGCCTGGGCTGACTTCAAACTGTGATCCCCCTGATCTCTTTCTTCTTAGTGGCTAGGATTATAGACAAGAGCCACCAGGTCCTGTCTGGTGTGTCATTTATGGTGTTGTCTTCTATTTTGCAAACTCACTGCTCCAGTCTTGAGATCTGTGTTATGGGCACAGTTTATTTAATTTATATTCATGGAACCTGCGACATTAGACAGCATGTGACTGTCACTATTCTAAGTTCCATATTCCTTCTATGTCTTTTCCTATTGATTTTCATCAGAGATCCTGAGCCAAGGGGTTGCTGGTCACATTCAGCCACTGACAAGCTGTGTTTGGCCCATTAACTATCTTTTAAAGAGTTTGAATTAGATGGCAGTATTTAAAAATCCTTCATGTCAGGATTTCCAGCTTTTCTCAAAGAATCTGAAATGTTAGCCACACTAAACCCCAAGTCCCTTGAGGCAGCCACCAGCTGGGACTGAGTGCAGCTGCCCCATTCCAGGCATGGTCACATGACCT